ATTTTGTTATATATGTATATGTCTGTGTATATGTGAATGTATTTATACATATATATGTATAGTTATAGGCATTATTTATTTTGTTATATATGTATATGTCTGTGTATATGTGAATGTATTTATATATATACATATATAGTTATAGGCATTTATTTTGTTATATATGTATGTGTCTGTGTATATGTGAATGTATTTATATATACATGTATAGTTATAGGCATTGTTATGTATTTTGTTATATATGTATGTGTCTGTGTATATGTGAATGTATTTATATATACATGTATAGTTATAGGCATTGTTATGTATTTTGTTATATATGTATGTGTCTGTGTATATGTGAATGTATTTATATATACATGTATAGTTATAGGCATTGTTATTTATTTTGTTATATATGTATATGTCTGTGTATATGTGAATGTATTTATATATACATGTATAGTTATAGGCATTGTTATGTATTTTGTTATATATATATGTCTGTGTATATGTGAATGTATTTATATATACATGTATAGTTATAGGCATTGTTATTTATTTTGTTATATATGTATATGTCTGTGTATATGTGAATGTATTTATATATATATATGTATAGTTATAGGCATTGTTATTTATTTTGTTATATATGTACGTATTTGTATATGTGTGTATGTTTAGATGTTTATTTATCAGTTACTGAATGCCTAACTATATATGAGAAATCTTGCATCTCTGATTTTGTGTGACTTTTGATGATTTTCCGATTTTGTGGCTTTTATAGTTGTGAGCCCCAGAAGACCACATCAGTCCAACTTAAATATAAAAAAGAATTCTTTGGGTTGTGCATTCGAGAAGCCCGAAAGACACTTAGTTCAGCCCGGCTGGCTCCAGGGGCTCAGCTATTGCTATGGGGTCTCTAAACCTCGATCACTTGCTTAGATCAACTTTTTCCATGTTGACTTCCTCTTCAGGAAGGTTTTTCCATGGCCTGCAAAGATCGCTTCAGATAGATCCAGGCTACGTGAGTTGACAGCAATCAGTCCCAGATATTCTTATCCGCAGCACTGAGTGTCTTAGATGTGGATTCTGACTGGCCACCCAGGTCACACACCCATCCACGGTGAGTCACTGGTCCCAGCAGGCTGGAGGAGTCTCATGGCTCCACAGAGTTCATGTGTGGAGTGGGGGTGTGGAGCTGCGGGAAAGTCTCAGAGTTGAGGTCAGAGATTCTGGAACTGAACTTTTGGCACTCAGATCTGGCTGTATAATCTGAGGGAGGCCAGCAAATCTCTCTGTGCTTTGGTTTCTCTGTTGGTAAAACTGGGAGACTTATTTTACTTTACAAGGTTGTTGTGAGCATAACTTGGATTAATATTTGAAAAGCACTTAGAATAATGTAGAGCACACAACAGTGCTAGGAAAAATGTTACCAATGAATGAAAGCGCATGTTTCACAGCCACATTACAGTGACATGGAATTGGAATCTAAAAATAAAGTGTTCATGGTAAAAAGTAATTAAATCATTGTTCTCTCAATGCTGCCATTAATTACATCACCAAAACACTTGGGCCAGTTTGATTTATCCTTATACCCATTTTACAGAAGAGGAAGCAGAGGCTTCCTAACTACAGGCTAGTTGCACAAAGACATAACCAGCCATGAGCAGAGCTAAGTCACAAACCGAGGTTACATGAAATCAAATTTTATGCACAAAATACCACCTTAAACAACCCAAGCTTCCTGAGGCCCACACCCTAGAAGCAATTTCCGTAAGGGAAATACATGTTCTTTATTAAAGCAGCCACTAAAAACATAGTCACAACCTCAATGTTAGCAATCTTCCCCTCTTTCTAAGAACAAATTAATAGCGTTAAAGTATCACGCGACCAAGGCTGGTTTCTCAGCGCCACAGAGCCCAGACTTGGGAGGAGAGACCCGCAAACTGCTCATTGCTTTGCTGACATTTTCAGTTCAAATTCTTTGTGATGATTCAACTCAGGGGACATCAAGTGTCATAGCAAATGGAGAAATCATTGAGATCCCAAATACTAGATTCTAACTCCCCATTCCTCTATAATGCTTATTCACATGAGAGTAAGAAAATATTCATTACAAGACTAAGTTCTATGGAATATTTTAATAGAACTCTTTTATAATCAGATTTGAATATTGGAAAAGTCTTAAAATATCCATGAGTTCAGACTCTTGGCATTGTCAAGCGTAATGTATTTTACATATGTGAGATAATAATAAAGTCAAGTAATATAATTAATTACAGGTCCAAATGGCCCCCCATTATAAACAAACAAATATAAACAATTTAGGAAAATACTCTAAACTATGTCTGAGATCAACTTCTTATCCCTCTAATGCCCAAAGCACTTAGAAGAATATCTGTAATTTATTCTTTGGATAATGTTAATATTTAAGAATCATAATTTTCTAATTACTGTTTTTAACCAATGTACTGGTTTAAACCAGATTTTCTCACAAAGAAATAGAAATAGATATTTTTTTAAAACTTTGAATTCAAAAAGGCTATGAAAATAATGTAGAAATAATCCCAGATTCAACTTATCTAAGTTAGATAGTGTTGTCTTTTAGATAAAGAACAGTTTATTTAAAAATTTCTCTCTTTTTTTGTCTTAAGAACCAAGTTTCTGGGAGGTGGGCGGGGGAGCTTCTTTTTAAAGAATAACTAACATTCTGTGTTTCACTGTGTATTAGTTATTACTGGTGTTCCTTGTTTCTGTAGACAGATATTCACAATTGGTCTAGGAATGGCTGCAAAGTTTGTTCTGTGAAGGACGGGCTGAACCAGCCATCCAGTAACGTCACTTCCAGACATCCCAGGAGTAGCTTTCCGTCACCTCCATTCTTCTCTTTTTCTAAAAATCTTCTCAACTCTGGGTTTATAGGGGTGAAGTTTGTGTTGATATGCATAACCAAATCCCAGGTACATGATTATCTTTTGTAAATTTCCAAAAATGCCCCTCTTAGCCTGAATCAACAACTATCAGACAGATTTAGGGACTTCTTGTGTGCGTCTAGATTATAGACTTTCCCACACTGGTCAGCCTGAACTACACACCAGGACCCACGGATTTTGCAGCAACCAGCTGTCATTTTTCTGAAAATATCCTTCTTGCCACTATTTATTGATTCAGTTAGCTCAGCTCACAGCAGATGGATTGTCTAATCAAGAACTCCACGCTGATGAGATGATGGAGGTGATGGCACACACCACATGGCAGAGGGTGGTGTTCCTGAGCTTTTCTAGTGGATGAAAAGAAGCACTTAGTTGTTTCCCTGTCATCCGGAGAAAATAAAGTACAGGGCATGGGCAGAAGCACAATGAAACCAAACGTATTTGTTTAAAGGCTAGCCTCTCCTCGTGAATAAAGCTGATTCTTTGTGGTGTAGAGAAGTTATCCAGGACTGCTGGGGTAAATGCAGAGCAAGGTTACTAGCAGTCTTTCTACTCTGACCTTTATCACCCCGGCACTCTGGAAGATTCTTCCATCTTTATGTGCTTTACTTTTTCCATTTGCAAAAGAAGAGCAATAATGCTGCCTGTCTACACAGGTGGCCTTCTGAGGATAAACGAGAAGAGAGAAGGCATTTTACTGCCAGAAAGATTGTTCGGCTCTGCACTCCTTTTTTGCTACTCCCAGGTTGAGGGTCATCTTCAGCACGAATTCCCTCATCTCTTTCCGCATTGAATCTCTTGACACTGAGAAAAGATGCTATCTTGTATCTCATAGGAACATTGACCCCTCTGTGTTCCCTTGGCCCTGACATGTCTAGAACCCTAGTTGTGAAATCTAAGTTCCATTTTGGATATCACCACCCACTCACTGGGTAATTTGACCCTTACAATTTTCAGTCTCTACAGTTTTGAAGTAGGGATATTAAGACATGTATTGCTTGTTATGTAGGTTAATAAGAAAATCACATTTTGTGGAGTCTCTAGATGCACCATGCACTAATTAAGACATGAATATGTAAGGACATGTTAAAAAACGAAAACTGTGGGCTGGGTGCCATGGCTCACACCTGTAACCCCAGCAATTTGGGAGGCATGAGGTGGGCAGATCGCTTGAGGTCAAGAGTTCAAGATCATCCTGGCCAACATGGCTACCAAAAATATAAAAATTAGCTGGGTGTGGTGGTCCATGCCTGTAGTTCCAACTACTCAGGAAGCAGAAGCAGGAGAATTGCTTGAACCCATGAGGCTGAGGTTGCTGTGAGCTGAGATTTCATCATGGCATTTCAGCTTGGATGACAGGGCTAGACCCTGCCTCAAAGAAAAGAAAAGAAAAGAAAAGAAAAGAAAAGAAAAGAAAAGAAAAGAAAAGAAAATTGCTACATGCATGTTTCAACTTATCACCCTGGAATGTCTTCCAATTTTCTATTTTTAAAGAGAAGTATTCTTCCAAAAATGGCACATGGCTGTAACAGGGCCAAAATTCTATTGAAGTCTCACCAAACAAATCATAGCACGTTCATTTCCTGCCAATCGATAGCATCTGTGTCCAGAGAAGACTTCTCAACATAAGACATTGGGGAGTTACCATTGATCTATTGGAATGGACCTCTGACATCAAACTTACAATCACTTTTATAATACAGAAAGCTGAAAAGGAAAATGAACCTGGGCTTGACCCTGGGATATACTTGCTGGTGCTACCATCCACATTATCTATAGATGAAAGATAGTAGCAACTACTTTATAAGGTAGTTGAGAGGGTTAAATACACTAATAAGAATCACACTGTTCAATTAACAGAAGTTGTTGCTAGTAACATGAAAGTGTACTTTTTCCCACTGCATGCATGTAGATTTGACTATAATAAGAGAACACTTAATGTCTTTTTTAAAAATAAAAGATAATGTATTTCCCCATCAAGTATCCATCAGAATACATACGGTGACTGTCCCCTGTGTGACTTTCAGGGTTCTAGGCTATTTGTGACTTGTTACTCAGCCCTCTCTGTGTGTTGTCATTATCTACCTGGTTCAAGTCGACTTTCTCCTTCCTCTTATGGCCGGGTCCCAGGAGATACAAACATCATTTCTTATTCACGTCTCATTGGCCGCAACTTAGTCAAACAATCACATCCAGCTCCAATGGAGGCTCAGAAATATCGTTTTTGAGAGAGGCCAGACAAAACACTGGGCATTCTATTCAAATGAGAAGAAAACAATAGCTATCAGGGAAAATCTTGTGTCTGTTACTCCTGTACACCACAAGTGTACATGGTTAATGTATAGATGTTGAATGAATTATTATTAGACAACTGCTAAAATTATATTAACATTTGATATTAAAATAGTATTTTCTGCCTTAAATAAAGAACTGTATTACTATCTAACAAGAATTTCCTAGGATGAACGTATTTTGCTGAAGTTAATCATACAGCTTAAGATTTATTTCATAATTCTGGAAAACCAATGATCTCAAATGGTAGTGCTGCCATTTCTGGGTGCTTCTTAGGAGCTGCTGGGGTAATGGTAAGCTAATAAATATTCCTCCAAACTATAGCCCATAAAACTCAGAGCATTTAGAAACGAGTTGACATGATAATCATTCAATAATTATTTTCATCACGTGTCCTTTTCACATACTATTGACATAGGTGCCACTATGGTTATTCTATTTTAAACTTATGGAACCTAGAAAATCAGCTGAGTACAACTCAACCTTATAATTGACAGTGCTTTGGGAATTTACACATTAAACTGCATGAGCAGAAGAGCAGCTGATGTGTTTTCTGAGTTTATTCTCAAAAATCATACTCCCATGTCAAATGTTCTATTTTAAAAGATGCGAAGAAGCTATTTTATGAATAAAATCTGCATTCTGCATCTATACACACACTGTTATACACTCTGTACCTTTTTAAAAAATGTTGATTGATAATGCAAAATTTAATTTGTTTTCTAGATTAATAATGGCTGTTTCTCTAAGTTCAGGAAAATGTTACTGGAATTTAGAGGCTATTTTGAAGACAATATAGCATCTTTTAAGTGGGGGGAAATTACTCTTTGTAAAAGAATGTGTAACTAGGAAATGGAATTGCTTATCTGCTACCACGTGTGATTATTTTGTTAAAAATAAGAAGAAAAACAGTTATTTGCTTAACTAAAACCACATGATAACTTCCAGATAAGTATTTTACTTAAGCTCTGTATTCCTTAGAGGAAAAACAAAGTCAGAAGTATTTGTGTAATATTTACATTAGAGTCAGTTGTCAAGCTTCATACCCCAGTTTCTTACCCCAAAACACAAATTGCTCATACAAATCAATAATCTGTTACATTTACAAAATTGTCTTTAGAATTACAAGTTGATATTAAATAACAAATGTATTATTTGCTCCTTAAAAAGCATTCAAAGGCCAGGTGAAGAGGCTCATGTCTGTAATCTCAGCACTTTAGGAGGCTGAGGAAGGAGGTTCTCTTGAGGTCAGGAGTTCAAGACTAGCTAGGGCAACATGGGGGATCCTGCCTCTACAAAAAATAGAAAAATTGGCCAGGCATGATGGCCTGTACCTGTAGTTTCAACTAATTGAGAGCTTAAGGTGGGAGAACTGCTTGAGCCTGGGAGATTGAGGCTCAAGTGAGGCATGATTGTACCACTGCACTAGAGGCTGGGTGACAAAGAAAGACCCTGTTTAAAAAAAATGCACTCAAAAGAATTAGCTGAAGCATCTGGTGATATCCACTGTATAAAAACCACATTATGATCCAGCAATCCCACCACTAAGTATATATCCAAAGGAAATGAAGTTTGTATGTTGAAGACACAGCTCCACTCCACTTTTACTTCTGCATTACTTACAAATACCTAAGATATAATATAATATAAATAATATAAACAACATAGAAATATAATATATTTATCTTTACAATATACACAATATAAATTTCTGTCAATGGATGAACAAATAAAAAACTGTGTGTGTGTGTGTCTGTGTAGGTGTGTACACACAGGGGAATACTATCAGCCTTATAAAAGAGGAAATCCTGCCACTTGTAACAACATGGATGAACCATATGCTGAGTGAAATTAACCAGACACAGAAAGACACTGTGTGAACATGCTCATCTGTGGAATTTAAATAGTAGAACCCATAAAGGCAGAGAGTAGAATGATGGTTGCCAGGATCTGGGGGGAAGGAGACCGTAAGGTGTCAATCAGGGGATACAAAGTTTCACTCCTGAAAGATGAACAGGTTCTGGACATCTAATGTAACACAATGTGACTCTAGGTGACAATTCTGTGTTGTGTATTTCATATTTGCAAGAGGGTAGCCACTCCATCAGTCTGCCAAGGTACCACATCTCTTGTCTGTTTCTATTAGGCATTGTCACAGGTTTTTCTGCACCTCGAGTGTAGAGACTGTTTTGTTCCTTGTGTGTTTAGTGCATCTAATACAGTATTTAACAGAGAGTGGGGCTTGTATCAGTCAGGGAGGATCAGGTTATGCTGAACAAAATCAAATTATCAGTAACCTGTAATAACAAGAGTATTTTCAATCATGTCGAATGACCAACATGAACTAATGGGGTCAGGAGACTGTTCCCGGAGATGCTCAGGGAATCAGGATGACAAAGAGTGAATCTAAGACAAGCTGTCAGAGCCACAGTGCAGAGAAGAAGAAAGATAAAAAGCCAAGCGCAAGCAAAGAATGCTTCCAGTTTTACCATCTCAAACGTCCACATGCTCCCACTTAAGGCGTCCAGTAAGATAATCTCCTGTTCTCACAAGAAGAGGGAAACTGTGTATTTATGCACAGTATTAAGTTGGCTTCTGCGGTCAACGAATATTTGCTGAATGAACAAATTCTAGATTGCTGCAAAAACCACTAGTACTTTTGCACCAACCTAATCAGAGTGGGTGTCTCCAAACTTAATTAATTTATTAAAAATATATATTAACTATTTACTCTGTACCAAAAAGTCTGGTAGACTTTTGGTAATGAACAATAAACAAAATAATTGAATGTTCAAATACGAGAAAACTATTTTTATAATATTCACCTAGGCTGAATTTAGTGGCTGATGCCTATAATCTCAGCACTTTGGAAGGCCAAGGTGGATGGATCACCTGAGCTCAGGAGTTTGAGGCTAGCCCAGGCAACATAGAGAGACTCCTGTCTCTAAGAAAAATGCAAAAATTAGGTGGGTGTAGTAGCGCACTCCTGTGGTCCCAGTCACTAAGGGGGCTGAGGCAGGAGGATCACCTGAGCCAAGGGAGGTCAAGGCTACAGTGAGCTATGATGGTGCCACTGCCCTGCAGCCTTGGTGATAGAGTGAGACCCCGTTTCATTAAAAACAAAACAAGAAAACAGATCCACATAAATGTGAACCTTATCTCTCACCATTCATAGTGAATTCTGCAACTTTCAGTTTTAGCAGATGGCCATAATAATACAAAATTTTCCTCTGCCCCCTTACTGGACCCATGACAGGGATGCCTGGTTTACTTGGCCTGCCACACTCACCCTCTTGCAGAAGGGAGCACGTGAGTGAGCAAGTGCAGGGTCCAACTGGCTGCTCTGGGCACTGACAGGATCCTGCTCCCTGCAGGGCCTGTGGTGGCACCGAGGTGGGGGTGCCTGTGGCCCCGAAGCCCAGGAGGAGGTGTTACAGTGCTCTTTTAATTCTACTGTCTGTGGATGGCAGCATGTTAGCAGCTCAGTTGGCTCCTTGTCTTGTCACATGAGTTGACTATCCTCTACCAGTGAGGGCAAAGGGCCAGTGTGACAGCCTTTTTGGGGACCCACACTTGGTGGGTCCCAAACTCTTGTCCTGCATCTAAGGAGAATAAGGTCACACAGACAATTGAAGGACAGTGAAAGTGGAGATTTTTACTGAGCAATGCAAACTGCTCTCTGCAAAGAGGGGAGCTGGAGAGAGGATGGGAAGGACAGGCTATCTTCCCCCAAATCTGTCCATCTCCCTCAAAGTCTGGCCATCTCCCTCAAGGTCGGGTCATTTCTCTCAAGGTCCAGCCATTTCTCCCCCTGTTGACTGAGTCTGGGGTCCTCATAGGCACAGGATGGGTGTTGGGGAGGCTGTAGGTAGTTTTAATTATTGATAAAAACATGTGATTGGTAAAAAGGCATGATTCAGAAAGAACCAACTGGGATAGAGCAGGCAAACAGGAATAGATCTGGGCCTGGCGCGGTGGCTCACGCCTGTAATCCCAGCACTTTGGAAGGCCAAGGCGGGTGGATCATCTGAGGTCAGGAGTTTGAGACCAACCTGACCAACATGGAGAAACCCTATCTCTACTAAAAATACAAAATTAGCCGGGTGTGGTGGCTCATGCCTGTAATCCTAGCTACTCAGGAGGTTGAAACAGGAGAATTGCTTGAACCTGGGAGGTAGAGGTTGTGGTGAGCCAACATCGCACCACTGCCCTCCATCCTGGGCAACGAGAGAGAAACTGTCTCAAAAAAACAACAAACAAACAAACAAAAAGGTCTCATGTTGGACTAGTGATTTCCGGTTGTTTTATTTATTTATTTTGTTTGGGGGCTTGAAGGTGGTGTTTCACTGGGGATCCACCCCTGTCTGCCTAGAATTTCTCTGCTCCTGCCTCTATGAATAATTTCAAAAGAAGGAATTGTACGTGGGACAGCATCTTTTAAATATGTGTACTATTTATTAATACCAATAAGCAAACCTGTTACTTGTAACTTAAGCTCAGCAGTTTTCTGCACACTAAAACGTGATGAGAAGCTTTGGAAGGTGTCATTCTTTAAAAGCACAGTGTCTAATTCATCCCCACCAAATCAGAAAGTCCACAGACAGGCATTTGGGTTTTGAAAATACTCTCTTATAGATTAAAATACCATAGAGACAAAACACTCTTCTCTTGATTGACTGCTTTATCCTCTGTGTGTGGCAGATAAATATTTGTGATTGATTAACGTGCACTCCTGGGTAATAACCTCTGATAAATGGAATGTCCCCCAAGATGTGAGCAAATGCCACGTCATCAAGGAAACTTGCTGAGTTGCAGGGAGGTCAGAAAAGGAAATTTTCTGGATTCTTCTTCCCAGTCTCCATGCAGATGGAGAAGGGCAGGCTGGAAGAATGAGAGGCCTTGTGAAATGCTGCTCTCTGGCTACAGGAACCTATAAAATAACCTCATCAGTATGTTTTTAAGG